ACTGGAGTGGAAGCCAAAGGATGGGGCCGAGAATCTGTGATTGATCCGAAGAACCACTCCCAGATACGATTCTGCTCCCCCTTCGTACTACCATGGGATTCTTGCTCGACTTTCTTTCAGCTTAAGAAGGCTGCTGTGAGAATGAGAATTACTTTGGAACTCTAGGTGAATGGGCATTTTAGGACGGGATCTAAAAGCTCTCCAACGTGTTGCGGAGCCTTCGGCCGTGAGAGAGTGGATGTAATTCAGCTCGAACAAAGCGAGAGGGTGGATGTAATTTAGCTCGAATGAAGTGAGAGGGTGGTTATAATTTAGCTCGAACGAAGTGATAGGGTGGATGTAATTTAGCTCGAACGAAGTGAGAGGGGTAATAGACTATTACTGTTCAGTACATGTGACGAACCGAACATTGTTAGGTCCCAAATTATGCGAAGCACCAGATCTAGATCAAGATCTCCATTACGCCGTATGATATATCGATCCAGAGAACTTACTTTCAGTTTAAGTCATCCATTCTGCTCCTATCTAAAGTGATGCTAGGCTGCTTCACAGAGGTGCGCTTCGCTCGACCACATGATGAACATATTTTAAGCTAACTGCATGTCGAGCGCTTAAGCGGAGCTTGTGGTCACTTGTTCCTCGCTTGTTCAAAAGAGCTTCAGATTGGATTCAACACTACATACAATATTCCATTCCGACTCCCTTTATGCCTTTTTCTGCTCCACAATGCTCTCTCCAAAACAAAACTCAAGTGAGTGAAAGAAGCCAGCATTCCCTCTCTTCTTTCCCCTATCGCTAGGGGCCTTGCCTTTTTAAATTAAAGGCTACATTCGATTCTGACAATGGGTAAAGCTATTTCCCAACCCTACCTTTATGCAGGAATTGACCAAATAAGGAAGATTGTGACCCCCAACGAAAAAGGAATGACATTTTCGGGGAATAGCCCGCTTAAATAAACTAGATTGAGGAAAGGGAGGATATCTGAAAGGATCAGAGAATGGGGATAAACTACTCAGGATATCCTGATAACTAACCCACCTCGAGCTGATTATGAGAAACCCATTTACGCCTTTGAATGAAAGTTTTGGGATATAGGGCCAAACCCTCTTCTCTCTTTCACCCATCTACCTCGGCTTCCTTGTCTTCTTTAGTTGGAACATAATCCAGCCTATAAGTTGCCTTGTGATTCACAAAGTTTGGTAACCCTTTGCTCTTTCTTCCCCAAGCCAAGTCCAGGGAAATGTCCCATCTTTATATGAGCCACATAATGATTTGCATAGGGTAAAAAGAAAGGGGCACCCTTTCTATAGCATTAACAAACTGGAACACGGTTAGATTAAATCCTGCATTGTCATCCTTTACCTCGAAGAAAGCTGTCTCCCTATCAGCATCTCCATGGATAGTAAGAATTCCCCCATCTCTTAGCATCTTGATCTTTTGTTGTAACGAAGAAGGAAGAACACCCAAAGGCATGGTTACATGGCCTACCCAGTAACAAATTCAAAGAAGCAGGGATATCTAGCACATGGAATTCAATATTCGCATCGCAACCACTGGCCCTCACTCAACCCTCGACCACTTTGTAGCCTCTTTCTAGGCTGAGTTTGACTTCTTCAAAGACGAAAGACAACCGGAGTCTTTGCTCCCTGGATAAGTCTCATTCGATGTCGTAACTGTTGCTTAAAAGATCTTCTTTTATCTTCTCAATCTTCGATCGATCATTCTCTGCTTCATAGAGGAGGGGGTTCCTAGTTAACAAGGAAGCGAGATTCAAAATAGAGGTAAATTCTAAACTGGACCGAGATGGCCTATACACCAATTGACCGGCATCATTCTTGAAAAAACAAAGATCGTTGGAAGAAGACCCCCCCACCAAGACGTGTAAATGACAAAAAATTTACAGCAGTAGAACGAACTTTGGGTTTGACATGACAGCACCTCGCGGCTCCCTTTCAAGATGAACAATGCGGCTAAGCGTGCATCTGGGGAGGATATGCCGATGGATGGAGGCGGCTGCATGCTGCATCTAAGAGTTTAGTTCCATGAGACTGAATAACATGGCCTAAAACGAAGTAAACTCACTTTGCTTAACACAGGGCAGTAGAGCAGGACTTCTTTCTCACCCTCACCTGTCAACCAACATGGTTCGCACCAGCGTTATTTGACTCGCTTAGTCCATCGCTGCTTGTCTCAACTTCAACCACTACAACCTGACGGTTCCCTCGCAGCTAAAAGAATGAGATAGAACACCTTTTGTGACATCAGAAGATGAAATCAGTCAAGCAGGCAACAAATTCTTACTACCTTCAATATTATCAAGAATATTTAGACCTTATAGTTCTCAATCAAACCTTTGATCTCACGCCAAATTTTACTATTGGGATTTCCTATATAGGCCTGGGCCTTCTTAATATGCTGTAACCGCTGTTGATTAGACTCTAAGTGGTTCAGATCGGCGAAGTAGGCATCAATACCTCTGCCAATATCGGCATCTTCTTCTATCTGAAGAGGAAGGTTCCCTTGCTTATATAAAGAGAGATTTTCTTCTATAATGGTCTTTATCTTGCTTTCGCAGAGGTCAAAGTGTTTTTCTATAGACCTCCACTCCTTAGAGGAAATAATATCTTTCCGCTCCTTTTTTTCAAAGCTGTCTAAATCTCATTCTGTGAGACTTCGCCTTCGACCACCGAAGTTCCTTCCACGGGAGGATTCCCGGGAACCTGCGGTAGCCCCTCTTGCCCCGCGTTCGACATGATTTGAACGACCTCTAAAAAGGGTTCTACGGCCTGTACAAGTTCATTAAACATGATGGTTTGGTTCATTCTTTGACTTCTCTGCTCCCCCCTAACAAAAAAAGAGACTTATTTTTAGATATATTACATTGCTTGGTTGTTGACCAAGGAAAACCATGGGAATAATGGGACGTAACATTCTTTAACCACTTATTTACGATAAAACTAGTTGGATGAAAACATCGCTCCTAAATGAAGCCTTTCTATTATATATATATGATATATGATACCACCTTCCACACAGAATATAATTTATATCTTCAAATCGCAAAAAGTCTAGTTTGAAGTGAAGGAACCCACGGGGCGGTAACTAGAAGGGAGGAATTCAAACCTGGCATTCAGCCATTTGGATAAGAGTTGAGTTGCACTAAGAGACTTACGATTAAGTTCACTCAACTTCGCGGCGACAGTCCGGACTCACGGTTGGAGGGGAAGAAAAGTGTTGTTTTGTCGCAATAGCTATTGGGATTGGTCGAGTTCCAGCGGGGATCGAATCTTTGCAGCCGCACGTGTGAGCGAGATGATTCCTACCTCCATACTTAAGTTTCATGGATTCCACAAGATTTGTTTTGAAAGCCTATGATGCTCTGGAACACATATAGAAAATTACCTACCACTGACGCCTATCAGCAAACTAGTAGACTTAACATACCGGAAATGGCAAAGCGTAACTCCCCTTATCACCTCCAGAGTCACAATGGATTTTGACAGTCAACTTCGGGACATGTAATTTCATGAAAGAGGTTAGAGAGAAAGCTCCTCAAAGTAGCTGTTATATTATTATACGATGCCACTTGCCATGGATAAGAATCCGATTCTCTATCTACGAATTGAGGAAAAAGGGGGGAGCTCGAAAACGGTGAATCTTGAGCTTTCTTCTCTTATTCAATTGATAGTCTGATCGAGGGAAAGTGGAGACAAGTCACTAACTATAGTGCCAAGGAAAGCAATTGCATGCATCAAGCATAGTGGCATGCTCTGTAGCCGGGGAATGAGGAATTAACTTAACCCTGCTTCATTCGGCTTCACTTTCAACCTTCCCTAAAGCGAAGGAAAGAATCTTAGTGGAAGAGCCCCTAGCTGTAGTAGTGAAAGTAGTAGTAGCGATCAATCTTTTCTTTATGCTGTTACAGAAGCAATAGGCTTGGATGGGCGTGATAGCTCGAAGAAGGAGTACCGGGCTCAAGGCCCTTCTTATTTGACTTTGACTCTGCTGGAACTGGCTGGCTTCTGTTTTTGATGGCGCTTCTCTATGGAATCTTGTTCTTACTGCCTTCCTAAAGAGCTATGCAGCGTCATAGATCAAGCTTTCCGAGTTGTTTATTTCCAAAACGAAACACCCTACCTTTTCTTGGACTCTGTATCTAGATCTTTATTTAGAGGGTGGTAGCCCTATATCCTTTAGCTTCCACTTTACCATCAGATGCTTTTCTAGCTTCTCGGAAGGGGTCTGGATCCTATTGTCGAAGCTTATAATTCCGGGTTTCATGTATCAATACTTCTAGATTAGTGTTAAGGGTGTGGTCGAAGATCATGTTTGACTGACCGATTTCATTGACGACGCATTTCGTTCTAGGTGGTGTTACAGTAATTATGAGTGGCCTCTAAAGTCTTGTCACTTTTGCTTACCTATTTTTTCCCATAGGATTCTAAACCTTCCCCTGATCTACGATCACCCTAGTTTGCACTTTTTTGTAAAAGTTTGTTGGTTCGGCAAATTATTAAGTGGTAGCTCTTTCTCTGGATTTGTCCGCTGATGAGGATTCTGATGTTTCGGATGGAGATAGTTATGCTGATGCTGATGCTGATGCCAAGGCTTATTCCACTACGGATACAAAAAGACAGAAAAGGGATTATTCCTCCTTTTCAGGATTTCTAAATTCATTTTCTTCCCCGAGCCCATCTTTAGCCCTTTCTTCAACTACTATTGTGGTAGGAACACATTCTTCGAGCAGGAGAACATTCTAATTTGAAAGAAAGTAAAAGCTAGGCTAGTTGCGGTGCCATCTTAATCTTCTAGTTTGCCGCATCCTCTTGCTGCTTCCTGAGGAGATACTGAAGAAGCACGCAATGGAGACATCGAGAACTTACGACAAGGTGCAACCTTGAAAGGAATAAGGTGGAAGCAAAGTATGAAGAGTTGTCACAAAAGAGAATGAATGGGTGAGGAATTGACACATGTAAATCCTTTAGCAAGTAGGAAAGCCATCAAATTTCAGAAGCAGTGATAGCTAACGCTTTGTATTCAGCTTCTGCACTAGCGCGGACAACTGTTGGTTTCTTTTTAGAGCCCCAAGAAATTAGATTGTCACCAAAGTAAATGCAGAATCCAGTGGTTGAGCGACGAATTATTGGACAACCAGCCCCGCATAAGAGTAACAAAAAAATGTGTTGAGATAGGGCGATGAGGAAATCTAAGACCATAATATAATGGAGAGTGCCTTTCAAATACCTTAAAATGCGTTTAAGACACTGATCATGAACAATGATGGGATTGGTCATAAACTGACAGAGATGCATAACAGCATAGCGGAGGTCCGGTCGAGTGAGAGTGATATATTGGAGAGCACCAACAATACTTTGATAGGCCTGAGTATCAGAGGGAGGTGTACCATCCAAAGCTGAAAGTTTAGAACCGGAAGCAATTTGTGTAGCATAAGGTTTGCAACCAAGCATGTTGGTCCGGCGGAATCAATCTAAAGCATATTTGGTTTGTGACATAAGAAGGCCAGAGGAGTCATGCTGAGCTTCAATGCCAAGGAAGTCATTGAGATAACCCAAGTCCTTCATGGCAAAATATTTACTGAGACGGTGAAAAAATTGAGTGAGAAGAGATCCGTTGTCACCAGTTAAGATGATGTCATTAACATAAAGCAAAAGGACGATACAGCCAGTAGAGGAATGGTGAAGAAAGATAGATGGAGGTATCCGCAACACTCTGACGAAAGCCACTTTAGAGAAGATAGGTACTGGACAATTGAAAGCATGCCAATTGTGCTTGACGAAGACCAACAATGGACTTATGAAAGCGACAAATATGAGAGGCTTAGAAGGATCAACAAATCTAGGAGGTTGTTTCATGTATACTTCTTAAAGTCAAAGACCATGGAAGCATTTTTCACGTCAAGTTGGCGAATGGGCCAATTTCGTGAGATGGCAACTACTAGAACTGAATTTAGTAGTCCGGAATGGTAAAGAAAACCATAATGGACTAAATTGATGAGAGGCATCCTTTCTTTAAGCGGTCCATATCTTGGCCACCACATCATTTTGAACTATTCAATGACTGGTCCAATATTGAAGCATGTATCGAATCTGTATGATTGTAGTCTTAATTTGAATACCGCTCCGTGGGGATCTCGAAGAATGCATTTTTGTAGTCCAAGTAAAAGATAGGCATACATCAAGATCTGTGGGTTCGGCCACACAAGAAATGCGTCCGGGTTCATTTTTGAAAGATGGTCCCCCATCTTTCCATGGTATAACCATTCTGATAACGAGCATAGTTGACAACACCGATCCCTTCTCGTTCAGGTATTTTTGTAAGTGGACTGATCTTATTCGTATAGAATTGTCTCTGCTTGGTCCCATCTAAGTCTAGATTCTTCATTATAGAAGTCATCTTTCCCATGTATTTCTGAAGGACGAGCATATGAAAGAAAAGGGGGAGCCATAGTGGTAGGGCATTTCCGGGTTATGTCTGTGTTGTGACCTTATGAACCGTGTTAGAATAAGTATCAAATAAACCAAAAGTTATCATCTTCTTTCTTAAGTGCTTCAGTTCGACGTGATCTATCATATACGCTTTTGAATCAGACTCTTCCCCTACTTTCCACGCATCATGAGCGGATTATTTCTCCCTCTGATACTCCAGCCAAATTGTTCAGGGATGACGGTAAACCCGTTTGCAAATCACAAAGCAGACAACTCGTCGATCTTCGTCTAGCTCCCTGACTACTTACCAATAAAGGGAAAGAATAAAAATGGGTAGAGCAAGATTCTCTACTGACCATCAAGACGTGATAATTCATGATTCCAAACCAATTAGTCATCTGAATCTTAGAATGTGCTAATTGTTGGGGGCCCGCCCAAGCTTTCTCGATCAATAGAAAAATTGACTCTCCCCCCTTTGACTTGAGCATTGCATTGACCTTTTGTACTAAGGACGACCTATGAGATGGTTTGAACCGGTTCTCAAACCTACTACTATACGAACAGTCTTCTTCATCTAAGGCTGGCAAATCCAACTTTTTTTGTTAAAAAGAGATCTCGGATCAAGGGCTATCGACACGAAAGTGATCCGTTGGTCCATTTAGTGGATCCTCCCCCCAAAAACAAGATCATATTGGGAAACAACTTCGAGGAAGATAGCATTGGGACATGCTATTACCTATGTATGGTGATGGGTGTCATGCCAGAGTCTGTCCGGGTGGGCTCAAGCTAAAGCTGGAGAAGAGAGTTAGCTTTCTGCTGAGTGAGCCCGAACAGGAGAAGACACACACTAGATCAGAGCAAGTTTAGCTGGCCCAATGGCGCAGACACCTACTAGGATGAGGCATAGCGGATATTGAACCCACATCTCGTTGAGCTGCTCCAGCAAGCACCCCTTTCAGAAGCTCAATTTGTAGGATCGGGGAGAACACTCGCAGAAGTGCAGACATTTTGAGAGAGTGCAAAACTCTAACTTGAGTAAGTGCCAGCCAGGCAAAAGGGTTAGCCTGAAGTGGTAGTTTAGCCAAAGGGGGAACGTGCAACTGTTGGATTCAGCACACTCTTAGAATAGCTGTGGAAATTCGAACGCTTATCCTAACACAGAGAGCTTATCCACTACATCTACATAAGGAATAGTCTAGTCCAATATTTCTTGTCCTTAAAATATCATTTATGCACCGCTGCTAATCCTTTCTAAATCCAGCTTCAACCGAGCATACGTCTGCCATGGGAACAGGAAGAACAGGGATTTACTTTTATCTTGAAGTCTTTCCCGTTGGAAGGCTGGGGGGTGCCTTGCACGTCTTGGAAAAATCATGCATTGTATCTAAAGTTATTGGCCCATGGTCCTCAGTGAGGAAAGGACCTAGAACAGAGAAGAGGGCCGATAGGAAGTTAAAAGCAAATCTTGTTTCTTCTTTCTCGAAAACTTGATGTGAGGGGGCCCACTGGGATGCCATAATTGGAGCATTTTTCTTCATCGACTGTCGGTTTTTTACTAGGTGGCTGATGTTTTTGATGCTTTGGTTTTTGCAGGAAAGGGTAAGGGTTCCAAACTTAGCGTGTGAGCTTTGATGAAGACTTGCATCACTATTCATTTCCTCGTGGCTCGATTACTCATTTGCTTCTTCCTTTGGGCATGAAGTGGTTGGTGAGGCCTTTCTTCGCCTGTTTAAAAGCTAGCCCTTACTCAAAGATCTTTTTTATTTAGCACTAGAGGAAGCCCTCCAATCTTAAAAAACTGATGGAATGCGATCTCATAGGCAATTTCCTATGAGGGCTGGACCCCAACATCAACCGCAAGTATGAGGGGACATTCCCCATCATAGAGAAAGTAGGACAAGTTGCCTATAAGCTTCAGCTTCTTTCCAAGCTAAAGATCTACCCTTGTTGAAGGAAGTGGAATATGTGATGGCGGAATGCAAAGTTAATCGGCGTGGTGTCCCAGCTTAAACTTTTGACTTGGTAAAGTAGAAGGTTATACCGAAGCAGGGAAGCTCTAGGGTTTTGCTAACCAGTGTGAAGTTGAGTTCTATCTTTCCCTAGTTCATGCAAGGCTAACCTTCTGGTTTTTGCTTTCTAGAAAAACCTTTTACCAGATGGTTGTTTGCTACAGCCTTTAAGTCTCGCCTAGCCTCTCCCGCCATTCTCCAGGAAACTAGCGGCTCATAGCTGTTCAGCTGCTTCTCTAGGAGATAGGAGACGTGCCGCTGACTAGGTTTAGGACACAACCATCGTGCGAACCGTCTGCTACCAAGTCCATGGGTTGGAACCCATAACAAATGGAAACAACACTTCTGCCGGTCGACGAATGCGTGCGGAGGTTGTAGCAATGTTGAATGAACGACTGATTTGGAACTGGACCGGGTAACTTTAAAGGTGGTCCCGATGTTAGATTCTTAAGAACCGACGGTTCTATTGGTAACCCATTCAAAAGAAGCTGGCTGCTTTGACTTTGATTAGCCAATCGAGTGCGGAGGGTGTTGTGCTCCTCTTCATTTTTTCCCGTTAACGACCACAAAGCCCAACACTGCTCCTGCTTGCTACTTGCCCACTTTCCCTTTTTTACTACTTTGACTAGCGCCCGACAAAGTACATTAGTTTACTAAGCAGATCTGTACATTAGTACATTAGTTTACAGTACTTTTGATGCTACTGTAAAAATGTTGAATTACTAAACCACATATTTGATTACGATTAAAAGGAACAATCTCAAATAGACCAAGATCCAATTTCGGGTCATTTCTTGGTGAACATGATCTTCCATAATCTCTTCGATCCCTTCATTTATGTGCCAGAATAGAGAGAGATTTGGTAGGAAAGTGGAAGAGACCTTTTTGTATATGATAATCAAAGGGAGTGGGAAAGCTGCAGTAATTCTTTGGAAAAGCCCGGTTCTCTTTGTCTTCGAGCTTTCATTCCTCAATCCACTGATTCCTTCCTTCATATACCTCCCCACCAATAGATAAAGACAAATAGGAATAACCGAACCACATCTACAAAATGCCAGTACCATGCAGCTGCTTCAAAGAAAACGTGATGCTCCTTGGTCAGATGACCAAGATATTGGCGAATACCACATATGATCAAGAAAATAGCACCTATAATCACATGCAAACCATGAAAGCCAGTTGCTAAGAAAAAGGTAGAACCATAAATACTATCCGAAATAGTGAAGGGTGCTTGATAATATTCCATTCCTTGAAAGCCTGTGAATACTAGAGCCAGTGAAAAGGTAGCTACTAAAGCGTAAACTACTCATTTTTCCTTCCCCGCGAGTATAGCATGATGAGCCCAAGTTACGGCAACTCCGGATGAAAGGAGAATAAGAGTATTAAGAAAAGGGATTTCCCAAGGATCTAAAATCGCAATCCCTTTTGGGGGCCAAATACCTCCGATCTCTACTGCAGGTGCCAAAGAAGAATGAGATGAAGCCCGAAAAAGAGCAAAAAAGAACATAACCTCCGATACGATAAACAGAATAAAACCATATCGAGGTCCTAATTGTACAACTTTGGTATGATTTCCTTCGAACGTGGATTCACGTAGAACATTGCGCCACCATACGAACATGGTATATCGGATAAATATGAGGCCCAAACTGAGAAGTATTGCACACCCCTTGAAATGAGTGCATGTACATCACACCTCCTACGGTTGTTGCCAAAGCTCCGAGTGAACCCGAAATAGGCCATGGACTTGGATCTACCAAATGATAAGAATGCCTCTGAGATTCAATCATAAACCACTTTGCCTCGGTTCTATGTAAACCCCCCTTCACCTCCACCCCCCTAAAGTAGTAAAGTAAAGAAGAGATCTTTGGGGTCTAATTTTCTTTTTATCTGACAGGACAAACAAAGAAATAGGAAGGGATGGTTATTTCATTCCATTGATAGAAATCTAACTAGAAAAAGACTCTCTCTATTACTTTGAGAAGAGAATTGTTGGTTTGACCGGTGAACTACGTGGGAAAATAGACCTTCTTTCTTTGATTTGAAGCAAGATTTTTTGAAAGTAACAATTCCATTCAGTTCTCTTTCGGAAAACTTGCTGGTCGCGGATTAGTTCGTTCTGCGCCGCCAGCGGCCTCAACTCAAAGACGCAGGTTGATTTCTCTAGTTGAGGCTGCATTCATTTATTCATATTCAACTTGACACGTAGGAAGGACTTACTCTACTAGTGGCTCGGCTTGGTCTCGCTCCCTTCCAGCACTATTTCTCCCCCACTAAAAAGAGTGATTGAGAATCTCGAGAACCTTTCCGAACGTCTGTCTTCGCGGGGCGATTGGAAAAGAAAGGAGTATTTAATTCTTTTACTGCCTTCCATTCCACTCTTCTGTTCGAATTAATATCTCTTCCGAACGACCAAGTCATAATGAGATTAAAAACCGATGCTTCCTTGGCAACATGGATTAATTATGTCATTCCTACAAGTGATGACCCACCCAGGATTGCTATGTACGGACTTAAAGATCAAATATAATATGTTTCTTTCCATTCCTCGCGAGCCACTTATTTCTCCGAAACAAGAGATTAAAGTCATCTTCCTCCTTTTTCCCAAGAAGTCGACGGTGTTACACCATTGGGATACTTTGAATAAACTTGAGTACATATAGGATACACCGGTGCTAAAACCTTTTCTCAAGATATCTTCCAAACTGTTGGGGTTGTTGCTTCGGATCTTGTTCTCCCGATGTGAAACCAGTTGGTTCCGTAATTTTAGAATTCTGCTGATCCCAAGTACTCCATCTCCATCATTGCATATAGGAATATAGAAAGTAAAGAGGAAAAGGCATGACCAGAAGAATTGTGTGAAATAAGTGAATTTATCCAGTTGAGGCATTCTTGATTGATTGAGACAAAATGATTTCCTCAATACAGCTTAACTCCGTCAAGCCTGTACGAGTAGTGAATAAGTATAGAGCACTTTGGTTGGTTGTTGACCAACAGAAAGCATGGGAGAAAGATGCACAAACGAAAAAGGGCTAAAAAAAGGACGAAGTAATTTCGTATATAAAGATATGGGTTTCCGGGTTTAGATCAAAATTACATCCCCGAAAACCTATACTCATTCATGTTTCACTTGTGCATTTACAACATCCACTGCTTCTGACTATGTCGATGAAATGGGACCACGAAGATAACCCACTACTAGAGCTTGCTTTGCTCTCGCTCCGCTCGCTCCCACCTGTCTTCTTCCCACTATAGTTAAAGATCTTTCACTTCACCATAGCAGGAACCTCGCTAACCTTCTCGGCCAGTTAGTCTAACCACAGGGATCTCCTCCTACTTACCCACCCACCGTAAACGATTACTAATAGACTTGGAATACGAATGAGATCAAAAAGGCCATCATTGGGGCAAACGATGCAATAGCTTCGGTTAGAGCAAAGCCCAAAATGGCATAACCAAATAATTGTTTTGCCAATGATAGATTTTGTGCCACGGAATGAATTGAGGAACTAAGGACATTTCCAATACTGATAGCAGCTCCCTCTGAAGCAATTGTAGCTGTTCCTGCACCCATTGATTTTGCACCTTCTAACATCTCGAGTTTAGAATTCTCCTCATGCTTTTTCCATCACGATTTTCTCTTCGAGAACACTCACTTCGTCGATTCTTCCCCTCGTTCTTTTTATCTTGGACATTGAGATGTTCATGCAAAGCATAGGCATCACAAGCAGTACACTGAACACCAACCCAATCGTGAGAAAGAAATTCTTGCCACTACAAAAACTACAACAACCTCTGTGAACAGACGCTTTGTCAGTTCATTTTTTATATAACTTCAATTCAATTATTAAGTAAAAAGGTTAAAAAGGCTGAAGAAGCATCATTGGTGATTAAATCTAAGTATATGCCTTGGAGGCATTCAATGGAAAAATAATATTCATCCATCAGGGAAAAAAGGGACAATGAAATAACTTCGTCCAAAAAATACAAATCCCACCCTTGAAATTCGGGAAATGGTTGGACTATAGCTATTATTTGTTCACATATATTATAAAAAAGGTCGTCGAATGGATCCGTAGTCTGCTCAAAACTCGGTAGCACGGAGAAATCTGCTTGGATGGAAAAGGCGGGTAAATCTAGTTCAATCGGTAAACCCATCTCAGGAGTAAGCTGCTCCATTGTAGCCACTTCTGTACCTGTACCAGCTTGAGCAGCCGAAATATTGACACTGGGAGATTAAGGATCGACTGAAACACTCGAAGATGCACATTTGGGAATTCGACGATAAAGATCGAACAACGATCTCACTTTCCTCCTCATATTCGGTTTGACTTATGTTCATTCGCTCTGCGAGCGGAGCAGTATACCAAAAAAAGAAGCGACTACCTTACTTAAGCAATTCTTCTTATTCTTATTCTTTCTTAGTTGAAGTTCCCCTTCTCCGGATTTACCCGGTGAGCACAACTCTTGCTTGGGTAGGTGGTGCTGGTTTCCGACAACTTGCTAAATTCCACCATGCAGCGGCCATCGCCTACCCTAATGCTCATGCTTCGGACCTTACTGCTGGCTTTGAGCTTTTTTGCTTGCTATGCACCAGCTAGCGGAATGCTTTACTGAATGCACCAACCAATCTCTGGTGTCGGGCCTACGTGTGCCAACTCCAACTAGGAAACTACTACCCTTGGGTCTAAGCTCCTGAACCGGCAAGAAGAAGAAGAGCACCCGAACCCCCTCCCTTCTTACTATCCTTTCAGAAGGTGAAGCAGAAGGATTGAGATTCTCATAAGTAATGTTCAAAAGCACTGTTCCTTGAACAAATAATTAAGAGATCTCCTTATTAAACCCTTATTCAATATTTTATTTTGCATACAAACCAGAGGTGCGAAGCGAAGGTGCGGTCCAGCTGTAGGAAAGACCAATCGCAGAGACAAATTCAAAGAGATTCCCACCTCCGAGCGGGGGTTCCCCGCGGGGCTATTACACGTATTCTCCCCGGGGGTAGCTACAATCATATACCAGTTTATAAAATTATGTAGAGTTATAGCAGAAACTATTCGCAAGCTTGCGCACACGTGGGAAAGTTGAAGCTTTCTGAGAATGGAGAACCCCGGACGGCCGTGGAGGCCTGAAAACAAGACAGTCCGAAAAAGGGCCTTCTGTCTACACGCTTTCGAGCATAGAATAGACGAGAGGGCTGTGATTGACAAAGTAGGGGGAGGTGAGTCTTTTCTCCTTTCACTTTGTCGTACTCAGAGGAGTGGTGACTAGAGAGTACATGCCAGACGAAATGACGGTGGCTGCATACGGGGGATTGTCAAGTTCTTATGGGTGCATTAACTAGAAATTGGTTGGAATTGGAAGTAACTGTAAGTGAGGGAGGGAAAGGAAAATCAAAAAGTTTTATGCTTTCGTGCTCCACATCCGTGAAGCACTTCACTCGCTCAAAAAGACACATAAAATTACTTGATTTTCGGTGTTGAAGGAAAGAGGCTTTAAACCTTCATCGACGCCAAAACACTGGCAGGGGGAGCAACATGGGAAGCGAGGCTCCACACCCTTCTTCGTGGGCTTTAGGAATCGAAACCGGACCAAGCTCACACATAAGCCTGCTACCAAGCAAGAGCAAAAAAAGGAATATGTTGAACTGGGACAGGAAACCATCATAAGCCAGCCAACAAGTAAAACGAGTTCTCATTCACGGATAACTAAGCTTTGAAAAGGGAGAGGGAGACCGTTCTCATACCCGCCCTTGCAGGAGCCTAACGGAGAAAAGGCTATGCCCAATAGGGGAAGACTGCGGTAAAAGGATGTCCGTCTGTTGATGGCTAGATCATACACGCAAATATTGGACCTAGGTTTGTTGATGGATCTGGTCTTGTCGAACAGGTCTGGATTCGAGGTTCGAACACAAAATCCCACTAGCCGAGCTGAACTAGTTAGTGATGGAAGCAATTCCCACGAACTGAGAACAAAAGGATGTACTTGCCCCCTTCCCCAGCCATTACCGCTCATCCACCGCTTTTTATGTTGAAATCCTATCTTTGTCTTTCCAGGATGTCTTTTGCGTGCTATTCCTTACGCCCTAAGAAAGAACCTCCACTTGGATTCATTTCAAGTCTCGAGTTCTTGTTTAGAATTCTCGTATATGAAGTTCGAACGAGAGTTTTGATGTAATTCAAATTGACAAGCAGTAGTGACATCATAATAAATGTTCGGAGGACAGAATAAAATCTTGAATTCCCGAGTTTCCTTTGCCAATAGACCAATCAATGGTGCTCTATCAGAAACAAGATTCAGTCACTACAAAACAAGCCCACGGCGGAGCACTCCTAAGGCTTGGTGAGCTAGGTTTAGTGACTGGGGTGGACTTCTATTCTATACCTGTCTCCTTTTGTTACTTTTATATAACCTCCTCGAAGCAAGGAAGGGAAGGAGGAGGAGAAGCACAGATAATTAGGGAAGTGGAGTAATTGTGAAGACTAGCGTAGAAGTTACTAACTTTTTTTATGGAAGCCGAGACCCCTCCGTGACGTGGTCTTAGACTGGTTAATCACGATGGACTAGTATTTCGAACTAAAAGAGATTTCGGACCCGGAGCGGGTATGTTTCATTACCACAAAGTTGAAGAAAACAAAAACGCAGGTTTATGGTGAGCACATGTACGATAGAAGAGGGAGCTGGAGGAGAAGCGCTACGAAGAACAAGAAGTTCTGAAGTTTAAGGATTAATTTCAACCAGGTGATGTCGAAGCGGAATTCATAAATAAGTTTAAGAATCTGAAACAAGTTTTTTAAAAAATTTCTATGAGAAAGTACATGAAGGAGTTTAACCTATTGTCTCTACGATGTAGAGTGAAGGAGGAAGACAAAAGGCAATATTCGAACTAACTTTTTGAATTGTATTTGTCTTTTCTGGACAGCATAGAAGGAGCATACCATATTTCTTTGAGGGTCGACCTACTGCTTGAGCCAAAAACAAGAAAGCGAATGAAAGAAGCGAAGGTAAGAGTCAAAATACGCCGTGAAGAAGAGCTTACTTATGAGCAAAAGGGGAGGACGAAATCGCAGGAGATTCGGTAGAGGAGATAGAGATGGTAAAGATGACCAGCAGAAGCCTCAACAGAGGAAGAATTCCGTACGAGATAACAAGGGACGTTAAGGAGGACGTGGTAGAGGTGATAACCGTCACGTGTGCCAAGGAGATGGCGATTGATATTGAATTCCCTCTTCTAGTTTTAATATGAATTGACTCTGCTTTTGTCACTAGCTCTGTAGGTCCCTAAGCAATGTCTCTCATCACTAGTCACTATGGCCGAAGGTTAGCAAGCCTTCTCCCAGGTCAGTAGCGAGGTCAGCTCCATCTCCTCTTTCCTTTGTCTTTGTCTACTGTTCATCCTTGACCTTCTTTCCGAACTCGTTAACACTGGAACACCCGCCATGAAGGTCACTCAAAGTAACCCACTCGAGCTTCGCCCTTTGTATTGTACTGCCTGGAAAGAGGTTCGCTAGCCTTTTTTTTTTCCTGCACCTAAAAGTTGCCTTAGTTCCCTTTTAAAAAAAGAGACCTAAGCTTGAAGTCAAGGATTCTATGCTGCTCAATCTTTCTTGACGAAGAGAATGCCATACTTAGGTCTCAGGATGAGATTCTGAAAGAGTAACCGCAATATCAGAAGAAATTCTTCCTTGATTCCTTTGACCTGAGACTGCTACTTGTATTTCCTTTACTACTCTTTCTCTCTCCTCAGTTGCTTCTTGAGCCAACAAAGTTTTTGCTTGTCTTTCCTTGCTACTTTCAATCAATCAAAAAAAGAGGATTGAGCAGTGGCTTGGGAAATAAGACAACACTTGATGGGAATTGAGGAGTAGTAAGGAATGATAAAGAGTGAAATTCAATCACCCTCTTAGCTTTCTTTTCTTGAGAAGAATGCTCTGGTCTGGCATAAATGCCACTAGGTCATCTATGATTTGCATCTGCAAGAATGAAGGACAGAAGATTGGAAAACTAAAAAGAAAGCCAGGGCGTCCGGTGGATGAAGTCTACCTTTGTAATGTCAGGCTGAAAAAGGGGGGATAGCACTAGAGAGTCGGGAACTTTCACTGCAACTGAAGAGGCTCACACCTTACATCAAACTAACCTATCAACAGAAAGAACCGAGGTTGATTTCTTTGCAATAGGGAATGCAGTTGAAATAGAGATTCGCTTGAAAAGAGAGCAGTACTACAAGAAAGCTGTAAGACAGAAATAAGTCGATTGCTGCCATTCCGGAAATCAGNATTCCGAAAATCAGGGTTTAGAAGTCTTTTGTCCGGGGATATAGCTCCTCTGCGCATACATACAAATAAGGGTGACAAGACCGCGGGCCGAACAGGCTAAACGGGCCAGGACCGTTTGGCCCGGTCTCATGGGCCTGGGCCGGTCTCGTGGGCCGGTCCTATGATTTGGGCCCGCCAGGCCCGAGACCATTTAGCCCGCCAGGGACAGGGACCGGATCGGTCCCTTAGCGGGCCAAACGGTCCCAACGGCTATTTTTTAAAATAATTTTTTTTAAAATATAGCCGTTGGGCTGTCAAAAATAGCCGTTGGCTATTTATAAAATAGCCATTTAATCCCCTCCCAACTTTGTTTTAATCCCAAAATTTTTATAATTATACTTTTTCCCTATTTTCAACTATAAATACCCCATCATTCTTTTATTTTTTCTTACAAAATCATCAATCTATCACAATCTCTCTCTAATTGTCTTCTATAATTGCTACTGTTGTTTACTTTATTGTTACTAAGTGTATAATATATAAGCTATATTCGATATATATATATATATANGCTTTTGTCTCTAATATCTATTTAATTTTTTTTTTTTAAAAATCCGTTGGGCCCACTTAGACCATTTAGCCCGTGGGCCGGGGCCGTTTAGCCCGGGACCAAACGGTCCCAGTCCCGATCCCGGGCCGGTCCCTACAAAAAGACCATTTAGCTCGAGACCGTTTGGCCCGTTTAATTTGGGACCGGGACCGTTTGGACCGGCCCACTTAGCTCGTTTAGGCCCGGGACCGGCCCACTTGCCACCCTTACATACAGAGATCCTATGATTTGATCTGTACTAGAGATGGGAAGAACTAGAGGAAGACTCCATAGCTGATAGAACCAAGGACAAGGTCTGGACTGACGAGAAATTGAAAAGTGATCTGCACTATAGCTTCTCCCATTCCATTCCTTATTGTTGCTTTTAGTGCTTAGATAAGTTTGTTTGTTTTGTAGCACGGGGGGATAGAAAGTGCTTTTTCCCGCAGTAGGGTAGGGAGAGATTCTTTCTCTTTACTAGAGCCAAGACTGTACGAGGAGAGAAAGACTTAAGTCGACTCAAGTGGAAATAATCAGACTGCTTTCATATCTTATCTCAGGTTACCCCTTAGTGCGGGTATGGGGCACTTCGTTAGCAGTGGTTCATTTAGCAAGCAGTCTTATTGCTTGAAAGCATACACATCACACAGTAGGAGAGTTCGAGTGTGAAAATAGTGTACTCATGCC